GCCAACACACCATAATGCCTCGGGCGCCAGCTCCGGCGTCCAAAAAGCGGCAGCTGACGTTTGCGCAGCTCGCTGCATATGATGACATTTTGACCGATGCCCTCGTGGACCATGTGGGTTGCTCAACACTCGGCCGTCGAAGGAGCCAAATTGACAATGAGCCACAGGTTTATTATTGGACGACAATCCCGAAGAACCGCCCCTCGTATCACCCCTCGCGCGGCGTCCGGGAGGAAGAGATTGCCAAAGTCATACAGACTCACCTCATCATCGACCCGGACCTCGCTATCGCCGAGAACAAGCTGCTGGCGACAGACGGCCTGGGGAAATTCCACAATTCGCTCAGGACACCCAAGGAGAAGGATGACTTCAAGGGACACCTGCGACGGTACATGTCCATTTACCTGCCCGACTGCCCTTTCGAGGTGACTGCGACGAACCGTTATTCGATCGAATCATACGAAGCGAGCATCACGGCACGGCGGTCCATCAGGCGCAATGAAGCGATCAAGTACCTGAACGGAATCCAGGTGACGGTTACACCGGCGGAGGAGGCTCAGCTGGCTTTGCGCAAGAAGGACTTTAGCCTCGTGGTTAGCAGCAGGAGCAAGCTCACTAGTCTGTTCATGGGACCCGCGAGATTCGCCAACCACGACTGCGAGGCAAATGCCAGGCTCGTTACGCGCGGCCAGGCAGGGATCGAGATTATCGCATGCAGGGACATCGAACTCGGCGAGGAAATCACCGTCACGTACAGCGAAAGCTATTTTGGCGAGGACAACTGCGATTGCCTCTGCCAGACATGCGAGTACAACCTGGCCAACGGTTGGAAGCCCGTGGACGGCGCTGTGTCTGTCCATCAGAGCATCGAGGGGGACCTGTTCAGTGCTGCCCAGGGCTACTCGCTGCGCCGGCGGAGACGAGACCGAAGCGTTAGTGCCGCCAGGTCTTGCACATCGTCAGTCACTCCCGACATTCGGCCCCGCGTCCTTAAGAGCCAGAGAAGTCAGAAAATGCTGGGGGACAGGGCGTCGACAACAGATTCAGCCGATCCTGATCAACCCGGGGTGGCCAGCACGAGCAAGAAACGGAGCCCAGATGCTGCGGGCCTCAGTTCACCCCCAATCACACCGGCTAAGCGGTTCAAACCCCACCATTACCCGGTTCTTCCCATTCCGCTGGAGGCCGGCATATCGAGGGACAGCTCGGACACGGGCCTTTCTGGCACCCCAGTGGCATCCGAGGACGAAAACGGTAGCCTCACCGAGGCGACTTCTCCCGAGTCCGAGAAGCCGGATCTTCATATTATGACGCCAGACCTTTCGCCCGTCAAACAAAGTGTCGAGATTGGCAACCAGTTAGACGAGGCGCGATTGCCGCAGATCTCTCGTCCGGTTTCTGAGCAGACGAACGGACCGCAGGCAATTCTTCACACGACAGAGATCGTCGCTCTTGCGAATCCGCTCGAGATAGCAGCCATTCCGGAATCTTCGTTTCCCTTGGCAGAAACCACATCAGCTGCAGGAGATGGCACCCCGGCGACCGAAGTCTCTCCCATTGTCTCGGACCTCCAAGAGTTCCAAGAAACACACGACCGGGTTCGGCAAGACTCGGAAACGACAATTTCAGAAGATGTCAGCGCGGCCGCAGTGACAGCATCTACGCCAGGTTCTGCGCCGAGCGATGAGGTGGCGTCCGCCAAACCAGTTTCCACAGCGAAGCCAAAGAAGCGCCGTGCCTCTGAAAAGCCTGCCCCCGAACCCGTGCGGAGACATCGACTGCCCGGCGACTACACGCTCACACCACTGCTCCTCTCGGAGCCACAGACGGCGTGGATCCACTGCACCAACTGCAACAATGCGTTTGTGCAGAAGAACGCCTACTACACGCAGGCCAACTGCTTCCGGTGCGAGCGCCATTCCAAGCTGTACGGATACATCTGGCCCAAAACCGCACGGGCGGGCAAGGGAGACAAGGAGGAGCGGGTGCTTGACCACAGGACAATTAATCGCTTCCTGCACCCGGAGGACGAGGCCAAAGTGCGTGGCAGGAAGCACTGGAGGGAGCGTCTGGGAGAGAGCAAGGAACCCACACAGAGCGAGGAGCGTGGCTCGGAGGGTGGCTATCGAGGACGAGGTCGGCCGAGGCTAAGAGATGGGACCGAGTCGGACTGCGCTGGAGGCCCTGAAGGGCTGCTGCGCCGTAGCTTCCGTGCTCGTAGGGCGAGTGCGAAAGCTATGGGGGATTAGTCCCGCGATTGGGGCTCTTGTCTGTGTTATATTGTGTATTATATTGCTTGCTGGTTGGCGCCACCCTCCTTCCAGCGTCGTCCTGGCCTGCCCGCGATGGCCAATTTGACAGGCCGACCGTTGCAGTGTTTCCCGGGTTGCTCGCGGAGGAACGTAATGAAATATATAATTAAATATCCGTCCCGTGTCACACAAACAACCCCTGAATAATGACCTCCCCTGGCCCTTGCTCCTGACCCAGCTCGAATTCTGGCCTCAGGCACCAACACATGCACGAAGCTCAGCTACCCTGGTCGCTCGCTGGCCTGGCAACCGAAGCTTCCCGCCCCGGCGTCTTTCTTTTGCGACGGCTGCAATTGTCACAGCCCCGAGGCTTCATCATCTCCCATTTCCCCACCTTCCCTCACTCCTCTTGATTCCCAATCGCGCATTCCTGCCGATTTAATTCTCCTCCTCTGCCTCGAAAGTCCACACGCGCGCAACCCGTCGCAACCAATCGTTCAATCTCTTACCTAGTGTTAACTTCTCGATCACTTCTTATCGATTCGATTGACCGACCCATTGCGCAGTCGCTTCCACTTCATTCCCACCATAACAATCCCGAAACAAGAACAAACTGGCCGACAGCTTCAACGAGGAGATGACTGAGGATGCGCCGGTCGCCAGCACCTCGGCCTCCGCCGCCGCCGCCGACGCCGACGTCGAGATGGTCGAGGGCGCAGCCGGCGCCGCTGCTGAGAACCCCAATGACTCCTCCGAGCTGCCGTTCGCCGACGACGGCCCCGAGGACCCGACCCCGCCGCGGATCACCTTTGCGCAGTACCTGTCGACGCCGATGGTCACGCTGCTGATTGGGTCGGGCGGGAGCGAGACTATCCTTACCGCGCATCAGGGTTTGTTGCTGCAGAGTCCGTACTTTGCCGAGGCGTGCGCCGAGTTTGCGGATGATGGCAGTGTATTTTTCTTTTTGTTTCTGGTCTTGTTGTTTGAGGGATGAAGCTGACTTTGTTGTTGCTGGACAGCCCCGCCAGATTGAGCTCCCCGTCGAAGACCTCGACGCCATGGGGTGCTTTCTCGAGTACCTGTACACAGGCGACTACTTCCCCAAGAAGGTGCCCGGGCAGCGCACGCTCGAAAAGGACCCGTCGATCCCCGACGTGGACATGACGGGCGACCAGCTCCTCAAGCATGCTAAGGTCTACACCCTTGCGGAGAAGTTCGGCCTGACCAACCTCAAGAACCTGGCGGCGAGCAAGATCCACTGCGTCAACTCGACGGCCAAGGGCGAGATCGCCTACGCCCGCTACGTCTACGAGCACACCTCCAAGGGCGACACGTCGATCCGCGTGCCCGTCGCCAACTTTTGGGCCACGCGCTCCCACACCCTGCGCTCCGAGGCCGAGGAGGAGTTCCGCAGCCTCTGCTTGGAGTTCCCCCAGTTCGGTTACGATGTGCTTAGTATGTTTTTTGGGTCTCTCCAAATGTCTTGTTCCCGTGCTAACCTTCTTCTCCCCTCACAGCCCGCGTCCTCGACGAGAAGCTCAAGCGCGAGCGCAACGAAAAGATGCACCCCGGCGCGCCCGGCAGTGCCCGCAAGCGAGCCAGGCACAGCAGCAGCGTGGCTGCGTAAAGTTCCTGAGGAGTGGAGGAGTAAGCATTCGGGCTACGATATGGGCCCGACAGCCAGCCAGCCAGACTTTCTTCGCCGGCGGGTGGGGTGTGTTACCTGGTGCATGCCATGCATATATCAGGTGTACAATTCGATTATTCGGGGTCGGTTTCCCCCAGCCCTGAGGTTTTCTTTTCCACTTCTGGCCCGGCTGTGTTAATGACCTGCGGACTGGCTCGGTGGTCGTGGGCCCAAACCTAGACGGCCGAACCAGGAGAGTCGACACGGGGTTCAAGCACGACACGCGAAAGCGGTTTGGACAGGGTTGGGCTGGGCGTTGCTCCAGGTCAGGTTCATTGCGTTCTGGGTTTCTGGCGTGCCTATACATTGGGCTTGGTAGCTTTTGAGGCTAAGGTTTGCTTAGGCCGAGGTGTAAATAGCCTACTGTATGAATAAAGGTCTTGATGCGTTTCTAGGAGTATTTAGTGCCATGTGTTTTTGCTATCACCCATGGGCTTGTCTTTCATTGGGCCCAAGTCCCCAAACGAACTATTCTTCGTACACAACATCTAAGAAATAGACCCGCGCCAGCCCTGAATACCAGCCACCCTTCCAAGTCACAACACGACCAATCCCGATCATCTGCCCCATGCCCGTGATCCTCTGCGTTTGTCGGTGGCTCAGATGGTGACCTTTCCACAGGCAGCTCTCCACGCTTCCATCCACGGACGTCTCTCAGGGGCCACGAGCCCAACGGAAAGGTAACGCCAGAGCAAACCGTTGGCCGACTCATGTCAACCCTTTTTGACAAAGTTCCGGCGGAAACCTCGCCAGCAATGGCAGTCTCATGGACATGAAGCCCTCTTGGATTGAAACTTACGCGCCACAAATTCCTCGCCCGTCACCATCGCGCCGCCGCAGAGGCCACAGTCTGGCCGAACCCGAATGTATGGGGGGTCATAATGCCCGCTGTTGATGAACAACGTGGTCTGAGGAGCGACACAAATATAGGACAAAGTGATGTTGCTAGAAAAGTAGAAAAGTGGTGAACAACGCCTAGCGCAGATGGTGCAAATCAATAGAAGCAGAATCGGAACCAATATAGGCAGCAAGTTGCGCCCTGCTCATCAACCAATTAGCCTGCCCGGCTAGCTCAATCGGTAGAGCGTGAGACTCTTACGTTCACGTTTCCCATCTCAAGGTTGTGGGTTCGACCCCCACGTCGGGCTCAATTCCCGTTGGACGTCATCTTTTTGCTGTCTGTTGCCTCTCTTGATGTTTTGACATTTCCTACCGAATTTCGATCCCACTACTCCTTCTTTAACTAGCTTACGACCCTCTGCTACGATAATTTTGTTTCGCCATGTCTAATAACGGTGTTGTCCGCTGGGGGTGTGCCGGGGCCTGTTGCAGTAGGATAGATAAGGTACGTAACAAATCCACATCACCGGCTCTGCCCTGAAGGCACCCAGGCACTCGGGGAAGAACAAGCAGAGAGTGAAGCTTGGTTGGAGTGAGATTCAAGACAGTCAGCCTGAGAAAATTGGTGAGATGGCACTGGTAGGCACCACTTTCGCGACTATTTTGGCCCGAAACCTGCGCATCTTCTCCCTCTGCCAACGCGAAACAATAGCTTCAGATCCATCAGAAACAATAATTCCACAGCTCCCTCTCTACTGCCAACTCGTGCCCAAAGTCTCCAAACTGGGCAAACACGTCATCGACCATCCTAAGCCACGGCCAGTGCATTTTGGTCACAAAATATGCCTTGGTGTAATTACAGTACTCTGGGAACCAACCGGCGTTTTCCCAGTCGACAATGCCAGCAAGTCTCCCATGGCTATCCACAAGAACATTTCTCAGGTTAAGATCACCATGCGTAAATACCATGTTATGCCCACCGCGGTGGACCACCCCTGGCAGCGCACCACATCGCAGAGTATCGTTGAAATCATGCTCACTCAGGAATGGCCCCACGACCTCCCCGCGATCTTCGTCATAGTTCAAGGCCATATTGATTCGATAGTCAAAGCAGGGTCCATCAACCGCATTGGAGATTGCATGCTTCCAACCGAGAGGCCTGGGGACCGCGCGAAGTGCTATCATGTGTCGACGCAAGTCTTGAACCAGCGTACGAGTGTCTTGGTCGCTCATGCCGTCGATGCACAGACCGAGTTTGTAGCCGGGAATCCGCGCGGTCAAGAGGTAGACGTCGTTCGAGTCCCAGATCAGATCCAGGGCGCGGGGAACCGGTATGTTCGTATGGCGTCGTATCAGTTCCAGTGTTGCGTGCTCGTTGACCAGGCCCTCACGCCGTGCCGCGCTGACCACCTTGAGATAGAGCCCGAAAGGAAGTTGCTGCACGTTGAGGCTGTCGTTGAAGCCATACATGTGTGCGCCGAGAGATACCAAACCGCAATACGCTCGAATGCGTATATTCCCGGGCACGAGGAGCCAGACTTTCTTGAATATGGCGGCGCAGGCGTCGGAGAGAAAGGACGATGCCGAGGAAAATGGAGACGGGAACGCAGCAGGAGACTGCTTCCGTCGTTGTTTGCTGGCAATCTCTTGGGCAATGTATGTCCATCGGACTGGAGTGGCGAAGCAGGATAAAACCTCCAGAGCCCAACGGTTCGGAATGTTGACGTTGGAAGAGGAGTGATCGACGAAAGATGCACGTCGAAACTCCTCCACCTTGTCATGAATGGGGGGGAAAACGAGGTCCACCCGTCCAGACTTTCAAAACTTCATACTGAGCGCTTGTGAGTATTATATTGTGGTTAAATGCCAACGGTTAACCTCGGGAGAATAGCTCACCTTGGACTTTTTGTACAACGAAAGCTGGAAATATCCCTGAGTAAAGGCGGCTGCGGCAGATTTACGAAGGAGCCAGTGGTTTTCGACACGGTCGTATGACTCTGTCTCGGCATCATCGGAGACTCGGAGCAGCCGATCCCTCAGTTCCGGTGTCAGAAAAGCTCCAAGCATTTCACGACAAGGCTAAAAGCATGCAACAATTAGGTATAAAAAGGCCTGGATGATGGAACAAGCTGATCGGGTGGTACGCACACTAGCTGCAATGACTGCAGGCTTCATTCTCGGGAGCAGGGGTACGACAACCAAGGGATCCCAGAATGAAGTGGGCAAGCCCGTGATGCAGCACTTCCCGCCGTCTCTCCGCGCAACGCTGGTACTGACGTTTCTGTCAGGGGCTTCGCAGACACCATCGCGCACGACTTGCAACCGAGTCAGCTTGACAGCCGACGCAGTGGAAGGCTTCCCGGAGGCTTCCTGATTGGGGATATTACTTACACATGGCAATGGTACATTTCCAATCAGCCAGAAATGCTCCGAGTCCAATGTTGGGGTCAGATGTGTTGTTGTCAAGAGACAGTCGCTTGAGCAGAAACGCTGCAGCCCGATCATGATCCACGGAATCATCAATAAAACTCTGGAGAAGTCGTCCGCCTGGATGCTCCAGGTCTGATTGACGAATGACTGCAAGTGCGGCGTCGTAGTCGCTCAATGGTTCGGCCATCATTGATGCCGTTGCACCGTCGGTGTCAAAATCAAAAACATGGGTGTGGCGGTGTGCGAAGTAAGGACAGGAGTGTTGGACCGCGACGAAGTAGTTCAATCGAATGCTGCAGCTGCTCAAGTCAGCAACCACTGACAGAAATAGCATCGTCCCAGGATCCAAGGACAACCAACCAACCAGTTCGAGACAGAATCGCCGCGCTGATGCTTTCTGTTCCACCTGTTTTCCATAACTGGCGGGAAACCTAAGAACTTCATTGCCGACATCGACATGCCTTGACACAACCCTCCGGGCTGCCACTGCGAAGGCAAGACGGTAAGACGTCGTATAATTCGTGTTAGTCGTAATACGTAGATAGCGGAGTGTCTAAAATCCTTCATCTTTTTTATCTTCCCCCGTCAACCTCATCACCTCTCATACCGCCCTCTACTCTCGGCCCCCCCCCCCCCCCCAAAGAGCCCTCCTCAGCGAAAAGCCACAACAAACCGCCTCGGATACACCAACAACACCTTCCCATCCTCGGCAAGCGGATACACCTCCCCCAACCTCTTCCGATACGCCTCCACAAACGCCTCCCTGACCCCCCCTTCGGCGGGCAACACATTCACAAACGGCTGCAGCCCGGTCCCCTTGACCCACTCCACAATCCCGTCGTGCCCGTCGTCGAGCACATGCACGTAGCGCGTGGTCCACGTCTCGACGGCGCGGCAGTGCGGCTTCAGCGCATTGTAATAGTCCAGGTACGACTCGATCGGATCTAGGTCGGGCCGCTGCTCGTCGGGGGCGAGGGCGTCGAAATAGGGCTGCCATGGGCCCGCGGACGCGGCCGTCTCGCGCATGGCCAGGTGCGAGGGCTCGGTGTAGTTGTCGGGGACCTGGAACGCGAGGACGCCTCCGCCGGTGCCGCCTCCTTCGCTTTTCTGGCCCGGGGTGGTGGTGGTGAGGAGGAGACGGGTGATGGTGGGGATGCGTTCCGGGTGGCGGAGCCAGTGGAAGACGGCGTTGGCGAAGAGGAGGTCTGTGGTAGTGGGCGGGGTGTAGCTGCGCACGTCGGCGAGGGTGAAGGTGGTGTTGGGCAGGGTGCGGCGCGCCTTGGCGAGCATGGCCGGGGAGGAATCCATACCGGTGATGGCCGCGTTGGGGAAGCGGGCGGCCAGGAGCTCGGTGCTGTTCCCCGGCCCGCAGCCGAGGTCGACGATGCGGGCGGGCGCGTAGCCCGGCCCGAGGAAGGCGATGAGGTCGTGGATGGGGCGGTTGCGGGCGTTGCTGAAGAGGAGGTATTGGTCCGGCGACCAGTCGTTGTCTCCCGTCTTGGCTTTGGGGGACGTTGACATGGCGGATCTGAACTGGGTGGTGGGCCCGGTATACCACGGCGACTGTGAGGAGCTGCGTTGTGTCAAAGAATATCGTGTCACTCTTGCAAAGCAATTAGCTCGTGCTGAAACGGCGCGGAGCCGATGGCGCAGCAGAGTGGGCATGGCAGGTTTGAGAGGCATCGTGCCGAAAAAGAATCAGAAAACAATGGTTACGACCGCGGGCAAGGCAATATGATGGGTGTGGACCGGTTTTGTGATTGATGGGTGAGATGAGGACGTTGAGAAGTGGAGAACGGAAGGGAGATCGGCTGGGCCGTTTTTTAATTAGAAAAAGCTTAAAAGGGTCAGAGGGGTGATTATGTAATTATTAAGGAAGCTGATGTGTCTCAAGCAACTTCGTGACCACGCTGCCACGCTGTCTTCCGTTTACTATTAATTCCCGCAGTACCGCGGACCGGCCACCCACGGGAACTCCCGGCCCTTGCCAGTGGCGGGGTTCCGTGTCGTGGATCTCAACTGAGGAGTGTTCTGGCCCTTTAACCCCCTAAGTACAGCAACCTGGTATGTTTGATTTTGTAGGTAGCCCTGTTCCATTTGGGTTCGATCTACTGGGAAGTGATCGTTTTTCGGGGCTCAACAGGATAATTTTGCACGGCGGTAACTCGGATATCAAGTATCTTATTGTCCCAGAGAGGTTCGAGGTAGCTCGACTTGAGGCTTTGAGCTGAAGATCAAGGGTAGGTGTAAAGGTGGCGCGTCATTTCAGAAAGTCCGTGTCGGTGGTCCCTGTACATGTATGTAAGTTATTAGAGAGCAGGTGAATAATCTAGTGTCTAGACGAGCCGATGAAGCAACTCCTTCCCGTCGAGCCAGCGCTCCACGTTCTCGGCTGTCTCTCCGTACCACGTATTCATCAATCCCGTGTCAACATAGCCCATATGCGGTGTGACCAGGACGTTGGAACGCCCGTCCTGCCCCCAGTAGTCTCTCTTTCTCCACGGGCTGTCGCGCGGCAACGGCTCAATATCAAAGACATCCATAGCGCAGCCCTGAATATGCCCCCTTTCCAACGTATCCCTGAGTGCGGGTTGGTCGATCAGTGGACCACGCGACGTGTTGACCAGCAGGGAGGAGGGTTTCATAGCATCCAGCTCCCGACGGCCGATGATGCCACGCGAGCGCCCGCTCAGTACGCAGTGCACGCTGACGACGTCGGCCGAGGAAAAAAGCTCCTCCTTTTCCGCCGCGCGGAAAACCTTTGTGTTTTCAAGACCGTCGTCGGGCGAGAGCCCAACCTGAAGCGCCATCTGGTCGGCCTTGTCCTGCGTGGTGGAATGGACGCCGCCATTTTTGATGTTTGGGCGCCGAGGTCCCG